GAGAAAAAATAAAACTATCCCCCTCCACTCACCTAGCGCCACTCACGTCCTCCATTCTATTTGGCATGGGCCCTGAAAAACAATCATCCTGGCCATGCACCACCGCTTCCCATTATCAGTCTCATTTACCCACATTTGTCTTTGCATTTTCCTTTCCTCCTCTCGCTCTTTCTTCCGCCGCGTCTCTGTTTAATTGTCTTTGTCTTCCTTTGTCCCTGATGTAGTGCAGCTCTCGCCTGGGCTCCTGCTTCCTGCCTCTCCTCCCTCTTGTTCTTCCCACCTCACTTTCTCTTCTTCCTTCATCTTGTTATTGCGCATTCCTTTCATCCACCCCTCTTCCATGTCTCTTCACCCGTCCTCCCTCCTCCACGCGGAGCCGCTCTCTCAAGTCTCAACCCAATCTTCATTATCCGTCTCCTTCATTTTATCCGCTAATAACCCATTCAACTCCACTCGCTTAATCTCTGTGTTTACCCCCCCCTGCCTGCACTCACACACTCTCCCATAATCTATAATTGAATCCTCTCGCACACAGGAGAGCTGCTCTTTTTAGCACCACAACTCTTGGTAAGAGGAGCACGTGCACAAACACACACACACACACACACACACACACACACAGCCTGCCTCTCTAACCCCGTGCACCATCCCTACATTGTCGTAACAGTAATTCCGCCCTTTTTCTCGGCTCACATTTAATTAGCCGGGCTGGTATCGCGCTGTGTGACTTCTGTGTCTTCACAAAGGGAGCGGCGGCGGCTGGGAGGGCGGCTGGAAGAAAAGGGGGCCAAGGCACCAGTTGAACACGAGCGCGTACATGCACTGAATGGACAACGGCGAGGCTGCGCGCTAGCTCTGGCCCAGTTTGAGAGGAAATATTGTCTGAGGGGAACACAGCTGACTGTACAGTAGCTGTTCTGTCGTAATGCTTGTTTTCACTCCTAAACAATAGATATGAGAACTCGGCATGGAGCCATTTATGGGAGGAGGAGGAGTGTTTTGGTGCCTTTGGCGGTGTAAACTAAAAGCTTATAGGATATATATCTATAGAACAGTCCTTCAATAAATCCTACTCAATGAAGGTTGTAAGTTTGGTTTTTGTTGAAGCTTTTTTGGAGAACAGAGCATAAACAAGTGTTTCTTTACCTTTTGAAGGCTGTAGTCAGTGGTGCTGTTACGCTACGGAGAGACGCTTCTAGTAGTTTGTCCACCCCATTTATATCAGTGCTACAGTAGAGTGTAGTCATCCATCCATCCATCCATCATCTCTACACCTTCATCCTCACCAGTGTCTGTCCCGTTGGTGGGGCAGTTTGCGTGTCCCATTGACCTCTAGAGCTATGTCGGCTGGAGTCCTGGTACTCCTGGTAGGGTCACCCACCATGCCGAACAGATCGAAAGGTAAGGATCAGACTAAGAGTGACACCTGGTCCTCCAGGTTGGGGGTTGGTGTTAGGAAGGCATCCAGCCATACAATCTTTGCTCCAACAAAGTCATGGATAAGCTAAGCTAAGGGTGGTGGGGGGCTGGAGTCTATCCCAGCTGACTCAGGGTGAAGGCAGGTTCACCTGGACAGGTAACCAGACAGACAACCAAGCACACTCACATTCACACCTACGGACAATTTAGAATCACCAATTAACCTCAGCATGTTTGTGGACTGTGGGAGGAAGCCGGAGAACCCGGAGAGAACCCACGCTGCACAGGGAGAACATGGAGACTCCACGCAGATATTCCCGAACCGGCGACCTTCTCGCTGCGAGGTGATGTCGCTAACCACCGAGCCACCTTGCAGCCCCAGTGTAGTCATATTCACCATAAATGATTCAGCTATAATTTAGCTTTTTACCCAAACAGTTGCAAAATCTTTACTTCTGAATGGAAAAGAGCTTTTACAGTAACGTCGGTATTAAAACCTGCAACTCTGAGCCCCATTTTTATTTGCTCCTGTCACATTTTTGCTCACTTTTCACTAAATCTAAATTCCTGCACCTCTTTGGAAGCAGCACAACCGCTGCTAGAAGCAGAAAGAACTCAATAATGTCTTTTGTGCAGCACGACAAAGAAACAATGGCATCAATCACCAAAAGGGACAAAATTGAAAGTTGAATTCACCTGATTATTCATTTTACAGAAATTGGGGGAAAAAAATCTAACAAAACCTGGAATCACTACAACATTTGTCCAGGTGCCCACAGGTGTTGCCAACACTGGTAAAAATGGTGACTCTGTGTATTTTACCACTTAGATATTTCGTTTGTTTCCTTCCTGCTTTGTGTAAACATAGTTCAGCCACAAGGTCGCTGGGTTTCTGTCACATGACTGTTGGTCGCCCATGTTTCACTCGTGACTTTTCGTTTGCCCCAAAGAGCTCAGGATTATTTTCTTTTTTTTACAGAATCATTTACTGCAAAGAATTTACTCTCAGCGAGTTTTTGAATTTTCAGTTTGTGCGGTTTCTTGCTCTGACAAATGGTGATTATTTTGTTGTTGTTTTTTAGGACGCCTTTCAGAGTGTCGAATACGTTCAACTAGTTTACAACACACGACGTCTTCTGTACAATTTACAGTTTCATTTAGCTTTTATCCAAAGTGATGTACATTTGGGAGATCACACTCATACACCAATGGCGATGGAGCTGCCATGCAAGGTGCTGCCTGTCATTTGGAGCAACTTCAGGTTCAGTGTCTTGCCCAAGGACACTTCCACTGTGGAGGGGATCGAACCACCAACCTTGCAATTGGTGGACAACCCGCTCTACCGCCTCAAAGAAAGGCAGCTGGTGGTACCAAAGAAAGCCACCTGTTGGGTAGTCTGGTATCACTACCAGGTCTGTCTGCACCTTGTTCTGCTTCTGGGGAGAAAACACTCTTTGTTTGTGTTTCTTTTTGGTGGACTGCGCTCAGAAAAACAAAACTTTTTGGGGGAAGAATGTTCCCATTAGTCAGCAAATGTTGTAAACACATTCTTTACAGTCATTCAAGCAGGTTTTCCTGACTGCACGAGCCAAATCTCAGTCAAAACTTTCCAGCGTGTCGTTTGCTGCTCAGAGGTTGTTTCCCGTAGAAAAAGGGGAAAATGCAGAAGGAGATGAGTCCCCGATGGCATCTTCAACCTGCCGTCTACATACAGAGATTCACAACAACCCACTTTATGAGCTGTTTGGTGTCATAGCATAATTTTTTTTCTCTCTGTGGTCATATTAATAAGTGACTATTCATTAAAGTCACTGTACGAATGATGTTTTAAGCTAGCAAAATCCTTTTCTTCTTTTTCAGTCGCCAGAGTGTGAGTCAATAAAACACAAATGTACAAAATAAAACTAAATGAAAACTCAGAAACCATTAAGAAGCAGAATTGTCTCTCCTGACTCGGCTTAAATTACAGCCTTCGCGATCTTCCCTAAAAGCAGGAGGTAATTGGGGAGGTAATTATTGCTGGAGTATGGGGTAAAAGAAATAGACGTATGCGCGGTCTGGACAGGATTAAAATCAATGATCAGGGCATGTAATATTAAAACCAGCCCGTCTCCCCTAGAGCACCATATTTCATCTAAATGGGACGTAATAGTCCTGTCAGGCAGACCCGCCAGGCCCTGACTTATTGTCATTTGCTTTTTGTACAAAACAAAAGTTTAGTTCCAACTTCTAATGAGCGAGGGAGATAATCGCGTCACCGCGGGCCTTCCTGCTCTGGCCTACTTTAACGCTGTTTAACGTGTTTAAGCGTCGGTGTGTGCAGGTGATTGATCCGGTTCTGTCCATGGCCGGGTATTCGGGTTGAGACCACCTCCAATAATTGATTTCCCTTCTTCAGCTATTGTTGGGTGCAATAAAGCTTCCTGACAACATCTCCTTACCCTCATTCCCACCGATACTCCGGGCTCGATCGTTGGAAAGGTCACCGATAAGCGCGTCGTGTGTGTGTGTGTGCGCGCGCGTGTGCATGGGGAGTGTGTTTTTAAATGTTAATGTGTACACTTTATTGCTTTATCGGCCCGTGGCTCGGAAGGGGAGCTTGTTTACAAGATGTTGCCGGTGGTCTAGTCTGAGCCGGTCTCGTCCGGCTCGTCGCGGCCGGCTGCTTTTTATCTGCCGTGATCATTAAGCTGGCGATCGTTAAACTACTGTTAAAGATCCCAAACATGTGCATTTTCAGCACTTTTAGCCATATTAAGTGTGAGCGGGACGGTTTTATACATCGCCGGCTTTAAATACGACTGCAGCGATTCAGGAGAGAATAAAGCAAAGACAAGTTTTATTTTTATTTAACCAAGAAAAGACTCATTAAAATCTAGAATCTCGCACGAATTAACAGGTTACAGTTTAAAGGACTGCTAGGTGGCTCGGTTAGCATAGCGTCACCACTGTGAGAGAACGTCCTGGTTTGTGTTTTCTAGTCTGGAGAGATCTTCCTGAGACCACAGAGTGACTAGAGACACAGAGAGGACCTGAAGTGGTGCGTTTCATTCATACTGTATTGAGGTTATGTATTATTGAAATCGGGCTGCACAGTGGCTCGGTGGTGAGCACCGTCACCTCGCAACTAGAAGGTTGGCGTCCCGGTGAAGACACCCGGGATTTTTCTGCGTGGAGTCTCCTTGTTCTCCCCGTGCAGTGTGGGTTCTCTCCGGGTTCTCCGGCTTCCTCCCACAGTCCACAAACATGCTGAGGTTAACTAGTGATTCTAAATTGTCCGTAGGTGTGAATGTGAGTGTGCTTGGTTGTCTGTCTCTAAGTGTAGCCCTGTGATAGACTGGTTACCTGTCCAGGTGAAGCTGCCTTCACCCTGAGTCAGCTGGGATAGAGTCCAGCAGGTGTATAGATAATGGATGGATGGATGGATGGATGGATGGATGGATGGATGGAAGAAGAACAGTGTCACTGTGGGTTGCCTTAGTCTCTAGTGTCCCTGAATCACAAGCTGCGTGTTCAGTTTGAAGTATACTCGGCCGGCAGCGACTCTCGAATCATTTTCTGTTCTCTGTGTCTCTCCTCAGGTGAAGTCGGTGAAGACGGGTTCGGTATTCTGGACCATCGGCTGCTGTCTCTCCTACTTCTACATGGTAAGAATAGTCAGCAAACACACTGCGGGCTACTTCACGCCGCCTGAGAAGCTGATTAATTCATTGATTAAGATCTACTGAGCAGGGCTTCACACACTTTAGAGCTCCAACAACTTCTCCTGTTAATGAATCGATGAGAAAAACTGAAGCTGTTTCTCTGCTCTGAGTGATTTCAAACCGAACACAACAACAACAACAGATGTCACCTTCACTGCATTTTTGCTGCTTTGCATTTTTCAAGACCAAATGATTAACCGAGAAAATATTGAGCAGAATAATCAATAAATAAAATGGTCGTAGCCCAAGGTCATTTGCATTTTTATCAATTCTGGTTCCTGTTGTTTATTGATTTGCGGTTCTGAGCAAACCGTTTTTTTTTTTTTCTTTCTGATTATTTCATGTCGTGCGAGGTTGATGTAAGCACTCATTGATCGTACGTGTTTCTTTGCTTGTTTATGAATAAAATAGTTTCATTTATTATTATTTTATTTGTGTTAACTTGAGACGAACGTACTGATTCTGGGTTTATGCAGCGTTTTCTCCTTATTCCATCCAGACTCGCACCATAATCTACAGTAATGTCTGTGCACTGCAGCTGTCTGACATTTCTACACATTTAACCGCTTTCTACGTGCTCAGAAAGCTCACACGGTCCGGGTTTTACCGTCCGGTGATGCAACAGAAAAGCATTTTTATTCGCTCGCTCCAATTCAGAACTGGGTCGTGATCATAAACCCGGTCCCCGAGACGGTTCTGCTGGAGTGGCTGTCCAGCTGTGACACGGTCGCGTATTATTTATGAATTCAGGCACCAGCTCATCAGAGGGTTGGGCACAGAGATGAGATAAAAGGACGGTCCAGGCACGCTGCCTCGGCCACAGATTGTTTGTGTGTTTGCGTGCGATAGGCAGCGCCGATGAACATCTCCGGCTCCTTGCTCATTCCAGCCTTAATCTCTGCGGCCGGCGGTGAGACAGATGTCAAATGAAACAGATTACCGAAATCCAGCTTCATCGATCAGAGAGGGCTGTAGAGTCCAGAGAACAGGAGAGGACAGACGAGTGGATGAGAGACGAATCGAACAGGAGACGGACAAAGGAATAGAGAGGCGATGAATGAAGGGGACAGAGAGATGCTGAGGAGCACCGGATACGACGGTGGAGGGAATGAGTTGTGATGTGCAGCTTCCACGCTGTCCTATTTGGAGGCGATGGGAACATTGAGTCTCCATGCTTCTTCCTCCTTATTACTACTTCCTCTCCTTCACACTCTCCCTCTCCTCAGTGATGTGATGTTCTCTGTACTCTATCTGCAGCCCACCCACCTCTGCAGATGAGTCCTCCAGCAGAGCAAACTAGGCCCGTATGTCTCCGTCGACGCCGCCAGGTTCCTCGTCTCCCTTTGGTCTGCGTGCACCGGTCGGCCTTCCCTAATATTTTTCAGTACCCTATCACCTCATACTGTCAGGTTAATCAGGATGTAGCCGAGGCTGTTTTCCTGCTCGGCTTCATTGAATGGGACATTTATTGTCAGGCAGATACAGAGGCAGAGATCTGCTGCATGGATATTGGTGTAATCAGAGCAGAGAGAAGATTAACAGAAGAATCAAAGCAGTCGGACACAACCTTTCTGGAAGCTGCGTCCTCCGTTCAACCCTCCAGGGCTGAGGGCAGAGTGGGCGAGGGTGGAGCGAAGGGGGAAACCAAGGATCAGCTGCACCGCCGTTCGTTCCCAAAGCTTTGTCCTCGCTCTAAACGCTTCACAGCCTCCCTCAGCTGCAACATTAGGGCACATCAAAGCTTCAGATTATCGATTAAATGTTCTGAACACCAGCCTCCTCGGGCGATTGTTTAAAAGACGCCGTTTAGTTAGACTTTTCAATAATGCTAATATATCAGCAGCTACATGGTTTAGCGCTAGCATTTTGTGCTAACTTTTATGGTGTCATGATTTCATCTTGCTGCTCACAAGTGCAGCAGAATGTTATCGTAATATTAATGACGAGTAAAACGCTAGCAGGAGTTTGGCCTCGTAGCCTGGAGAGATCAGAACCGGGCTCTGGTGCATCTCAGACAAGCTTATACATCAACAAATATGTATAGAGCCGTATTATCTAGACTCTCACAGCATCTTAAAGTGTTAATGAACCAGAAAGTCAGTGCTGTCATTAGAAAGGCCACCGCTAACAAACAGTTAGACACATAAACAGAACAACATCCGTTTTCATTCCCCTAAATACTCAACGTTTAATAAGAGCACCAGCCTGGAAACACTGTGCATATGCATCCACACACACACACACACACACACACACACACACACACACACACAGTCAAATCCTTCCCTCTGTTGCATGCTGTGTTCTCTATATCCTCTTCAGAGTGGCCCCGTGGTCATCAGATAAGCCCGCTATGAAATGCAGAGAGCGATAACGGCTAAAAGGCTCGGCTCCAAACATTTTCTGATTCCTGCCCTCGGCGGTTACCCCGTGGCTCGGACGGGGGGCAGGATGTTAGAGCTGTAATTTCAAACAGAGCTCGTTCGTGCTCGTGCACAGACACACACAGCGTTAGGCTTTTGTCACGGGCATTCATCTTCGCACGCTCTTCTAATGCGACCAGAAGGCCGTTTTCTCATTCGTTTTTCCCTCAAAATGATCGTCCCCTCAAGACCTAAAGAGGTGAAGCTGCAATCAGGTTGCATTGTGTGGATGATAACTACCAGACCGCGGCGCCAGCTTCATGTCACGTCGACGTTACTGCGTTTTTTAATCTCTGATTTGTGAATACTGTTCAGGGAAATACCTAAATGGTAATTAACTCTGGGTTATTTTGAGCCTTGCTGGATGCAATACGCTGGGGATGGAAATGTTGCTGTGTCAGTTGTTCCTCCACTTTGATCCAGATTGAAATAACTCAGCAGCTATTAAACGGATGAAACTAAAGCACAGACCTGCCACAACATTAAAACCACTCACAGGTAAGCTGGAGTCTATCCCAGCTGACTCAGGGTGAAGGCAGGTTCACCTGGACAGGTAACCAGTCTATCACAGGGCTACACTTAGAGACAGACAACCAAGCACACTCACATTCACACCTACGTACAATTTACAATCACCAATTAACCTCAGCATGTTTGTGGACTGTGGGAGGAAGCCGGAGAACCCGGAGAGAACCCACACTGCATGGGGAGAACATGGAGACTCCACGCAGAAAGATCCCGGGTGTCCTCACTAGGACGCCAACCGGTAACCTTCTAGCTGCGAGGCAACGGTGCATTTCACTACACTGAAATGTTCTTGCCATTTAAGTGTACGTACATCAACACATCACCACCTAAACACTGTTCACAACTCTCACCATGGCAACAACACTCACCGACGGCCGTAGCCTCCCCCAGCAGGACAATGTGCTCGAAAACATAACTGATAATTGCTCTGGAACAGCTCGAGGAACAAGACGAAGAGCCCAAGACTTGCCTTTCAAACTCCCCAGATTCCAATCGAGCATGTACGGGATGCACCGGAGCAACAGACCGATGCTCCACTCCACAACTGAAACCATCTCGGTACTCCAACAGCTTAGAACTGTTTTAGTGGCATAAGGAGAACCTACACAACATCAGACAGGTTTAATGTTGTGGCTGATGGATATATACACTTTGGTGATCTAGTGACTGTTTCTCCTCTTGTGTACCTTGAGGTTGACGTTTTTCCCTTTTGGAGAAATTCCTTTCCTACTATTTGATGGATTATTTGCACATTTACTGTAATCCTTTACATTTTGAAGCTATCACGTCTAAATTGTTGAGTGGTTTGGTTTTTACTAAATGCTGGCAGATCTAATGACATGTCTTTTAGCCTAAACACTGCAGCGTAAGACGGTGCAAAGAGTAAATTATACCTGCTAATTAACAGCATGTTAGCATTGCTAGTGTGAGCATGCTAGCATTTAGCTCAAACCACAGATAGCGGCTAGCATGTTTGCTAATAACACATAAGCATGAGGTCGGTTATTGGCTGCATGCCGCCGTATTAAAGCTTTAAGGCCACGATTTGGTGCGTAATCTCCATGGTTTTAAACCCACGTTCCTATTCTCTGCCTGCTCTACATCTAACTCGACAATAGCCATTCACTTAGTCTGTCAGTTACACTAGTTGTTAGAAATGCCTGTAATCTCCATTTTTATTTGCTTTGTGCGAATGCCAACCATGGGAATTTTTCCAATCTCTGTCTTCCATCCCACCAACATGGCATCGAGCTGCTCGCTCTCTTTATATCCAAAGGGATAAACAAGCCTCAGAAAAAGTGTTGAGTAACTTTGACTCACAATAGTCGGAGTCGATAACGCGTCTCGCTAATGTCTGAGTCTAACTCAGAGGGATCGATAGTTTAAAGAGCCGGCTTTATTAGGTTTGCCTTAAGAAAAGAGAAAGTGTGGTTTGCATAGCTTTTGTGAATTAAAGACCCCCTCTAGTGCCGTGTTAACATATCCTGACTCTGCTTTGTGTATGCTGGAGGACATATCATGAGCAAAACAAGCCGCCGATGCCCAGTTTCTGTTGTAAATATTTTTGATACTTTCAGAAGATTAATTTTGGTCAAATTTGAGGGGAATTTGTCGATTAGTCCTCCATGTTTCTTCCTCCTCCTGCTGATTCTATCACGCATGTTTACAGAAACCAACACGGTGTATTTGGTGGAGTGGTGCAGCTGGTGGCCTCCGTCGCCGTGTTTCCACTGTTTTGTTTTCAATTAGTTCCCCACGAGTCAGCGACGGAGTCTGGATCAGCCATCCCTGTGTCAACACCCAAAATGAGTCTTAAAATGAAGTCGTCTCTGGTATTCAGCCGAGCTACGGTTCACGTGCTGCTAATTGGCCGCCGCCGTCTGACGGAGCAGACTGCCAGAAGATAATTGCACCAGCGAGGAACTTGTTTAGAACATTTTCTTTCACTTTCCCGCCTTAATGTGGGATATTAATGTTTTTATCAATTAGACGTGACTCGCTCGTTCTTCGTGCAGAAGTGTGATGATTGTGGTGATTAACAGGTGCGATGGGGCTCCTCCTGACGAGCTGCTGTGAATAAACCATCACGTTATTCCCGTTCCTGTTTAATTCACTCTATGAGAACGAACCTGCTTTCACTTTTCCTCCATCTCTCTCTGTATTCTTTCACTTTTTCTCCACCCTCCTCTTCTGTTTTTCCGTCTAGTGCTCTCCATTTGGCCTTTTGCTGCAGACAAGCAGCAGGCAATTGAAAAGTTGTCAGCGATGTTTCTGTGGACTCGTTTTATGGCCCCCACATCCAGCGTTCTGATACTCACCAGACCTCACAAAAAAAAAAAAATCGGTCGAGGTATAATTTTAGTGGAGCTTTTAAAGTTATTGGTGCGTCTCGCTTTTTTTTTTTACGTCGAACATATAAAATATGATTGCCTCGTTTTTATAGATTCCATATACGTGGGGTTTTTATGGTGCTTGTGTCTAATAGCGACGAGGCGGTAAGATGTCTCCGCATCGATCCAATGAGGCTGTTTACAGTAGGAGAGCTGATTTTTAGAAATGTTTTCTGAGAGTCTGGAAAACAGCAGGAGGTGGTTTTTCCACTATTGTTTGGCTTTTTGTAGACAAAGCAATTAGTTGATTATTTGACAACGTGACTGGCAGACTAATTGATGATTAAAAAAAAACTGTGACAGGTATGGCTTTTGTTGTTGTTTTTTTGTTAAAGCCAGGGAGAAATTTGAAATTAAGTGCTTAACAGTCTGTTTCCAGAACACATGTTCGATGCTGCCAGAGGTCAGGAATCGATCGTGACCCCTGTAGGAGTGGTGGACTACAAACGGCGCTGAAATCACAGGCTGCTGCTGCAGCTTGCAATTTGCTATAAACGCACCATTGTGGCTGACTTTTTATTGCCTTTCCACACAGGCCTTTTGGTTTGATGTCCAAATAAATTCTGCATATCGACGCCGTTCATCAGCCAGCTTCGTGTCTCAACTCGATTCGCCTCTTGCATCAACCCGACGTCTTTCCTGCAGAGCTAATTTATTGCGTTTTAACAGGAAAGCTTCCGCTCAGCAGGGCAACTCAGAAAAAATTGATCACGCAGGCCTCTCAGCGTCCACGCTGCATTCACTGACGTGTCTCTGTGTCTCTGTGTGTGTTCCAGGTGTCAGCGTGGGGAGGTTACGTCTTCATCATCAACCTTATTCCTCTGCATGTGTTCGTGCTGCTGCTGATGCAACGCTACAGCCGGAGAGTCTACATCGGTGAGGTGGCCACAGCACACGAGCAATTAAACCAGACGGCAACTTTCTCAGTGTGACTCGATGTTCAAAACTCCCCCACACGCTCGGCAGCTAAAATGGAAAATGACTACGCTTTCTCTCTCTTTCATTAGAAGACGTGTCTTCCAACATCGCTGCCCGAGCGTTTGACCCTGAAACGAGCGCGAGTGTCCAGTCACGCCTGTGCTCGTCTCTCACAACTGCAAGCGTTCCACCGTCAGCAGTGCAGACATCCACACACCCACACACCACTTAGCAGCAAATGCAACCACCTGCTACCTGATCCTCTTTATATATTTATTTTTATGTGCGAATACCAAAGACAGCGCGCCGCTGAAGAGGCTAGGCTTGTTATCCCGGTCATCCGTCGGCCCAATCCTCCAGAACCCTGCGTCCACCGTCGAGCTCGCAGCTTCCACTCCGTCTGTGGTCAAGATAAATGATGCTGTGTCAAGTATCATTTATGCATGATTATATTTTTCGCTCGCCGTCACCGCGGAGCACAGTCTTTGAGAGCTTCTGAAATAAATTACGGCCTCTTTACAGCGAGAGGGCTCCGACCCACCTCCGCTCCGTCTCCAAACGGTTCTTCAACAATGAAACGCTACTTGACGAGTCGGGGCTGTTTGATGAGGTGGAAAATTTCCTTCGTATCTGCAGCCTGACCGCCGTCCACTAACCTCAGACGGAGAAATGTTCTGACGTCAGAGGAGACTTCAGGTCCTCAAGCAGCTCTCAGCAGCTCTATCCTTTACCTGCTTGGTTATGCTTTTCAGAGCCAGGTGTCTCTCAGTCACAGAACATGCAAAAAAAAAAAAGAAAAGAAAATCCTGGTTTTAATAAAATGCCTCGCAGTCTATGTTCCCTCACAATTCATCTCTCTCTGTCTTGAGTCAATAGCAGATGTGTGAAAGAGAGATTGCTGAGGGCGGTCGCAACTACTTCAAAAAAGAGGCACACTCTTCAGGAAGAGTATGAAATCTTAATTAAGCTGGTGCGTCTGCGAATCGCTCCCCTCCAGCTACAAAGGTGGGAGTTGCGCTGTTCTCGGCGCCGGCGTCGTCTAACTCCGGGCCTGCCTGCCACACTGCACCGAGCCAGCTCCCATTTTCTCAGTAAATGACATTAGATTAGGTATTTTGTATTTACTCCCTCTGAGGTATGACAGTGAAAATCAATAGACTTTAAATACCCCTATTGAGGTTTATTTCCCTCAGTGGGACCTGAGCTGGAGAGCAGGAGTAGAAGAAAGGCTTTTTTATGTTCATAGTTCTGATCGGGTCTGCTCGTCGTGTCCCCGTCTCACCTTCCTGTTTGCTTCTCCTCTCCTCACAGCTTACAGCACCTTCTACATCGTGGGGCTCATCCTGTCGATGCAGATCCCGTTCGTCGGCTTCCAGCCAATCAGGACCAGCGAGCACATGGCTGCTGCCGGTAAGTCCCGCCCTCTCCACCTGCAGAGTGACTAATGCTGCATGTTGTTTTTCCTGGAACAACACTTTCCCTTCTAGAAAATTAACCACGAATGTCATGATGAGGAAAGCAGCGATTCGTGTGAAAGGCTGCTTACATTCTCTCGTGAGTGAATCATAACCGAATGTCACAATAACACGAGTGTACGGCCTATTTCTGTACCTGGAGCAGTCGTTTGTGCTTAACCCTGTGAACCCCAAACGTTGCCTGCTAGTTTAAAAGGCTTGCTTTCTCTTTTTTTTTACAAAAATATTCCAACAATTACACTGTGTAGCATAAGAACCTGTCATAAAAGAAATGATTGTTGGATGTGTAGCTGTCAGGAAATTTTGACTTTTCGCTTTATTATACACGTGTCATTTCAAAACGCTGCCAAAAATATGCCATTTGCAGTAACTAGACGCTGAAAAAAAAAAAACAATTCTGTGCTTCTCAGTGCAGCTGAGAAACGATGTTTGACTAGAAATTACTGGCTGTATTCTCTCAGAGCCGAAAGGAGACGACAAAAGAGGCTGCTGGGGAAGTAAAACCTGCTTTATTAAATGCAGCTTGTTTAAAAAAAATAGCATGCAGAGCAGCAGGTTGTCAGCAGGTGGTTGGACAATACACTGAAATATCTTTATGAGGGGCAGGACTTTAATGCGTTTATTAATGCAAATATAATGTGTTAAAGTCCCACCCCTAATATACTTAGAATTACGATGAATTAACGCGTTTAAAAAATGTACGCATTTAATGGCAGTTTGCATCCAGACAACACGGAGCGTTTGTCAGCGCCCGATTTCATGGTCCACCAATCACACGAGATGCATCAGCGCTACGCTAACAACAAGAAACATAGAGGAATCCGATGAGAGCGCATCGCTTGGACTGATGGAGGGCGAGTTTCATTTTAAAAAAGCTGCCTGATGGATGTTGACAACGGCGTGGTTTTGTGTGCAAAAATGTGCATCCCACCAAGCACATCAAGCTGACGGAACCACCTGAGCACAAAGTAGCGAGCAGAAACCGCCGGAGCTGTTAGCGCTAGCGGTCCTGGATAGCCACCAGTTTATTAAACGCGTTATTTCTGTTCTAATTAATTAATCGTAGTTAACGCGTTAAAGTCCCACCCCGAGTCTTTATCTAGTGTGGAGTTCTTGGAGGCTGTAAGAGTGTAATTAGGCCTCGTTAAAAAGCCTTTTAATACTGTTGATGACACCTTTCAAAGATGTCATATGTATTCACTCATTCATTTATAATTTGTCAATTAACTAATGAAAGAAATTCGACTTTCATTTGTACAGTTTTCTGATTTTAAGACTCTAACAATGGTGTTGCTGTTTCTATAGAGACGAAAGGACTCAGCGCTTTTTGGAGTTCAGAGGGTTAACGCTGCTCCAATTAATATTTTTATACAAGTGAATAAATGGTAATGTTCCTCTGTCATCTGGCCAAACACCTGTTGATTAATGTGGTTTTCTTATCTTCTCTTTTCTCTCTCAGCTAAAACCCTTTGTTATCGCATGTACCTTGAATTACAACGAAGTGATTCGACAGCACACAGGACGATTGTTTTTACGAGTTTACATAAAATAATTGAGCCGACCGACTGTCTGGGTTTCGCTCAAGGACAAACTGATGCGGTGCAGAAATTGTATTTTATTTCAGAGCTGTCACGTCGATTTCCAGCCTGCCCCGACCCTCCCACAGTCAGGGGGGAGTCGCTCCTCTATTGAAGGTGTATCTCCACCGACTTGCTTGATATCCAAAGCACCTGCCAGCGGATGCTTTGAGATGGGTCGGCCATAGCGGGAATTGAATCCCCTCGGCATTAGTCACGCTCCGTCTGTAGGAGAACGCTGATCCGGGATACGTCTACAGAACAGAAAGCCGCTTCACGTACCACCCATATGGGTCTAGCACTTTAAGTACTCTTCATTTGTGGGTAGTTTATTGAAGCTTGTTGAGTTTCTCCTCTTAAGAGTGGGCCCATCTGCTGCCTGGCATCACGGATGGGCGTACACGCATGATTCATGCGTTCATTTACGATCGTTGGCAGCCGACGAGAGCGCTTGTGGAGAATCCGGTTAGCGCTGCAGCAGGTGTATGTTGAAGTGTCCTTGTTTCCCTGAGTGTCTGCAGCACAAACACACTTTAAAGACACCAGAAACCGTCTCTGCCTCTCTCCGTTATCGGCACAAGTGTGTTTTCATGTCGCCAGAGCAGCAGCTGCTCAGAACATCTGGCGGCAGCGTTCACGGGGCTCAGCGGGAGACGGGAAGAGAGTGACAGAGCCGCGGACCTGTCGGTACCGTTGAGATGTCGGCCCCCGAGGCAGGGAAGCAGAGAGGGATATAGTTACAAGCATGTTAGCACCATGGCGGCTCTCCAGGAGACAGGCGGGGGCTTCACCTTGGAAACAGGAGGCAGTGGGCCAGCAGAGGAGCATTGAGATTTCACACGGGGCTTGTCAAAGGATGGTAGGTGACGAAAAAGGGAGAAACCAGAGCTCGTTCTCTTTTCAATTTCTGTGCCGGATTCGGCAGGCAAACAAAGAGACATGCCGGAGAAACAGCTCTGAGAAAGCGACAGAGGAAAGGAGTGTGACCGAAGGGACTGCGAGAGAAAGATGAGGCAAGGGAAGGAGAGAGAGGCTTATTTACAGAAATCTGTCTGCATTTGAAATATGTTGTCCTGCAGTGTTTGTCTTTCACATCTGCATGAACAGCCAAAGGGGCCATCGCAGGCTGCTTTGTAGAGCGCTCTGCCAGAATGACATCGCTGCTTCTCAACCACGTAAACCCGCTTTGTACCCCGCAGGAGGCGGCATCAATCAGGGCCTCCTCAGATATTCAGCTTCCTCTGTGAGTGCTCGCTCATTCCTTTATTTCTCTCTTTCTCTCAGGTGTGTTTGCGCTCCTCCAGGCCTATGCTTTCCTGCAGTACCTGAAGGACCGGCTGACCAGACAGGAGTTCCAGACGCTGTTCTTCCTCGGGGTCTCGCTCGCCGCCTGCGTGGTCTTCCTCACCGTCATCTATCTCACTTACACAGGTCCGTACGTCCACCTTAAACCATTTGTTCTGTCGGTTTGGAGCTCAGAGCAGGTTTAATAACCATTTGAGTGAATTCAGCTTCACTTTTCATTTTAAGGTCAGACAAATCCAACAAATTGAGACGTTCCTTTTTGCTCTAAAGTTGCATCAGGCTTGTTTTTTTTTTTTTTTAAATTTATAAGGTGAGTGAATTTTTTAAAAAATTGTTAAATGAAAGCAGTCGGTATCATGACTCAGCAAATCCAGGGACCTCGTTAATCAATACATATTTATATGACAAATAATAAACAGATAATTCATCATAAATATCTGAAACGTTTTAAATTGAAAATAAATTACAGTCCCGTGTGTGTTAATTACTGATCTGATGCCAAACCTTTAATAAAACCTGCTGATGGGGTTGTGCTGATTTTATTGTGTTTATTAATTTCTCATCATCGCCGTGACGACACTCATCATAGACGATCAGTGCGGCCATGTGAGCTAAACCTACAGTTCTAGACCGTAGGAATGTGTCTGCCCACACCAAGAAACACGACATCCGAGGCTTCCAACTGCAGCACATGTCAGTGACACTCCGCTTCGTGTTGCTGACTGTGGTGAAGGTGGTCGACACACAGCCAGATCCTCGATGCTGGGATGTTTCCACGCTGCACAATATGCACAGACTGGCTGAGATCTGGTTCCACCACTCGCCTTTTGTGTAATGATCAGTTGATTATGTTTTGATGGAGATCCAGATCTGGGATTGCAGCCATTTTCAATTTTTGTTTCTCTTATTTAGCCAAAGTGTACTCGCACGCTATCCTCTGAAGGTCTGACCCACGGGCCTCCCCCGGCGGGCCGCTAATCAGCGCTCTGTTTGTCGGAAAATCAAACCTGGAAGGGGAACGATAAATAAATATAAACCGTCGTGGACGCTGCAGCAGCGTTGGAGGACTGAGCTCAACCGAGTTGGTGTTGTTCTAGCCCGGCCTGGATGAACCCCGGTGCGAGCAGCCAGCTGGTTGAACTCTGTCCTTGTTAATGTTTTCCTCCATTATTTTCAGCTTGTGGCCACGGGGCAGGACTCAAGGTTTCAGGCCAGAACCTCGCTGTTTATTGATTTTGTTTGTCTCCTGCTGAAGTGTTGACTTATTTGAAGGCTGAGCTCTTCCAACTTGTTGCGAAAGATACGGAGAATGTGGTCCACATTCTACCACAGAGGCCATCTTTAACAAGCTGTTTTGCATCATGATACTGGTTCTGCTTCCTTTATCTGCCTCCCAGGAAAGCTCCTATAGTACGACTGTAGGAGGAGAGCTGCCGTGCCCGTCGGTATTTAACACACACCTTGAGTATCGACTTCATAAAGTGTGCCAACTGCTGCTACTGCAAATTATTTACTCGCTTTAACCAAACATCCAGCAATCTGTCACTCTACATTATGTAAACACCGCAGCCAGGCCTCTCCCCGGTGCAAAGACGTGGTTGCATCTACAGTCATGTTTTCAGATTGGTCGCCCGGTCCGGAGCAGACCGGCCACTCGTGTGGATGTAGAAGCCCGCTCTCTCTAGAGGTTACCGGCTTCATCTGGTAAAGATCTGTCGGCCGTCTGAATAAAGCCGTGGGAGTTGGCCACCGTTTGTTGGTTTGCCAGTTTTGCGGCGAGACTGCGCATGCCTCGCTACGAGTTTTTCATCTGGAAGCCTCAGAAGCAGCCGGATGGATTCCCTCAGCGTCTTTAATACGGAGCCAAGTATTGATTGGTAAAAATCAGTGCTGTGCTTTACATCACCTCTCAAAATATCTCCCTCCCACCATTTTAGCCTTTTTTTATCTCCTGCTTTGGTTTTTGTAAGTTATTCTGAAAGTGCTATATTAGTCACGTTAAAGAGACGATGCTCCAATACGTCAGAACATGTAAATATGTGAGTGAGACTTCTGCTCCAGCTCTGAGAACCCCCCCTCCGGCAACAGTTGGGAGCCGAAATGTATTCCAGATCAAAGCTGAACCAAAATAAGACATTTGTATGCGCACATTAAAACGCCCCGCGCACTCTCATTTGCAGCCTAAATGGTTTCAGTTACATTTATAAACAAGTCAATTCCAGTAATTAAGTCGCATCAATAGAACACATTTTCAGCATCGACACGTTCTCCGCTGAGGGTTTGTGCTTTTTCGGGGGGAGGTTTGGAAACACAGACGGCAGCGAGATTGGCTACAGGCGGTGTTATCGTTGGACTTGTATAAAGGTGGAGTCTGCGATTCTGGAGAAAGTCGTCATCAGTCAGTATATTCAGACTACATCCTTTTACCTCGTCCAAGCCAATTCGTTTCCCGTTTACAGAGCTGGGCCCGTGTGTGAGCACCAGATTTCAGACTAGTTGGGAGTTCCAAATACTGATATCCTGAAGGAGCCATCAGCACCTGAGTTTCAGTTTCAACTGGGGGTTTGCTGCTCCTCCCCCTCGTAAAATTAAAACCCAAACTCAGGTGTTAATGGCTCCTTAAGGATATCTGGAACTCCCAACTAGTCAGTCAGAGCTGATGAAGCCTCTTGGATGAAGGTAGAACGTCTTCAAGGAACTCAAGCAGGTCCAGTTGCTATGAGTTAGATTTGGTTGTTTTGTCCAAGTCACGCGTGATTTAAAGTTCTGATTGTTGTTCTTATGACGAGAGTTTATTGCTGCCATGAATAATGTAAATTTGCCAAAACAAATGTCTCTTTTTAATAAGTTGTTTGATTTATGGATCATCAGGATGTCATTTCAAAACAAAGACAGTTAAACACCCATTAAAACTCACAATACTTCTAGTAATACTTCCTCTCAGCTGTTATTTATTGAGTCATTAATATTAGTTTTATGGAGAGCAGGACATATGAGCCTAAAGCTGCCTTCCCACATCACATCTATGTGCTCTATTCCTTTTCTCCCGTCACACACTGAATACTAACATACGCTCCAGACATCTACAGTGCTATCCTCAGGCACTCTCTGCTCCATGTTTTCCTGGCCTGTAGGTCAGGCAGCGTTTTCTGTTACTTATTCAAAGCCTCACAGTTCAGCAGAGTTTGCCGTATAAATAATTGTTGCAGCGAGAGACGAATTAAAGCCTTTAAAATGTACTTTATTGCATTTTGCTGCGTCTAACGAGCTTCATCTCGCTTGTTTTAGCATTAATGCGATTCAACGAATGTTCCGCCGATAGCGTTGCAGAGCGTTAAAGCCGAGCCTTTTCCTTATCGATTGTCTTCTCCGTCTCCAGGATACATCGCTCCGTGGAGTGGTCGCTTCTACTCTCTCTGGGACACCGGGTAAGCTCTGCTGACCTTCACACTCTCCCTGTCGATGGAACACTTGTTCAATCGAGTGTATGTCTGTGTTTTCCGAGACGGGCCTGAACCCCCCTGCAGCATCCCAGAGGGGAAAACAGCGCAGCGCCGGCCGTGTTCAACTATTGTCTTACCTCCAAACAGCACCAGGCAGCCCGTGTTCTCCAAATACGCTGCAGCGTGTTTGATATTTCTGCACAGCCAATCAATCCCCCCCCAGCTCCCCTGCCTCGGCGTGCTGACTGAAGCACTATGGGATGTTTTCTTTCCCCCCCCGTTCCCTTCTGAGGCTGATACTAATTCCTTAATGTGCTGTCTGTTTTCTCCTTCCCAGCTGTAATCACAAAACACTTGAGAGAGAAATATTTAAGATTGTATAGAAAGTGCTGCGTGAAAGCCCATTATGACTAAAGAGGCAACACACGGATCAGAACCGAACAGCAGTGGAGTAGCATTACTCATCAGCTCGGCTAAATTTGTTCATATTTTACCATTAGCATGTGGGGGAGCTAAATTATCTTTTTTCCTCATAATTCTGGAGTTAATCAGGAAGATCAATTGTATAATTTGTCTCGACACTCCCAAAGCGCTCGACTCAGCATGAATTACATCCCGTCTGTCTCCCTCCTCCTCCTCCCTGTTTTCTCTTCTCCCTTCACAGCTACGCTAAGATCCACATCCCCATCATAGCGTCTGTTTCAGAGCACCAGCCGACAACGTGGGTGTCCTTCTTCTTTGACCTCCACATCCTGGTGTGCACCTTCCCAGCAGGCCTCTGGTTCTGCATCAAGAACATCAATGATGAGCGCGTGTTCGGTAGGAAGCCGCTGGTGAAATATTTATACCTTTATGTCCACTGTGGCGCAGAGACGTCCTCAGTGCTGGTCGATACAGCAGATCATAGTTATTTTAGCGTTATTTCTAGCAGTGCAAATAGCATTTTTGTTGAGATGTTTCAGAGCCTGTTGGATGGATCAGCTGATACTTAGTGCAAACATTTTTGGAGCCCAGAGGATGAAGACTTCTCCTGACTTTTAATTCAAGAGGCTTTTCTTCTTCTGTTAGTGTACTGTATAGCTTTTTGTGTGTTATGCTCTCCCGCTTTCTACCTGCCTCATCTGAAGGCCAACCACGTCACCACGCTCAACATTTGCATACGCCTGCCTCGCGGCTAGTTCGGCACACCCACAAAAATACAATAAACACCTTTCACATATTCTGCCATTAGTTCCTCCTGAGAGCCACGTCTGCAGCTGCATCTTCACAGACCTGGTTCACAGGAGCTAATCAAGGCTGTCTTGCTTTGTTGTGCCAGCTGACCAATCGGAGCAGGTCGGGCTCAGGAGGGACTTCTTAAAGAGACTAAAACCGAGCGTTTCAAACAGAGAGAGAGAGACAGTGCAGCAGTAATGTGCAGTATGAGAACAACAATGTTTTTTTAGGGACATTAAAGCATGCAGACACGTTCTAGTAGAGCCAAAAAATAGAATTATGAACCTGTAAATGTGCACGTCACAGGTGCTTCAATGGTCAGCGTGAGGTTTGTTGTTTTAAATGAAATGTCTGCACAGGATGAATCTTAATGAAATTTGCAGCATTCGTGTTTCCCTCATGATGAATTTGCATTTTTCCTTTAATCAGGTTAAACTTTTAATTTGTCCAATATTTAGGTTTATGACAAAGGCCCAATTAATGATGAATATCAGAATATTTGTCCTGGTCGGGCCACTTCCGTCCTGGGGCAGCGCTCTGACGGGGTGGAAGTGTCCAGAACACACAGGCAGTACTTGGCTGTTGATGCTAGTTTAGTTAGCGCTCACACTTCTGTTTCCACCATCGGTGGCGGCGGGGGAGTGGCCGATACGCTCCACCGCTACCATCCATGTTTACTTCCGTAAACACTGAGCACGCTCGCTGCGTGTGACGTCGTCGTGTCCTCTTCTGCGCATGCAGGACACTTTTGGGTCGTATGAAGTTTACACAGCAGATCACATACAAGTCGCATTTAACTGGAAATGTGAAGGAACTCACAAAGAAATCCTCATTGAGCATCAAGTCCTGCAGTGTGAACGTAGCCAATCTGTGGGATTGTTCAGTCAGATAATACGCCATCATCCTGATTGGTGACATAAAATGTCATGTCGGAGTCAGAATCCAAGGCTGTCGCTATGTTAAGGCTGTTTTTATGGGTTCTGTTGGTTTTTCCTAAAAACCTGTCGGATAGCAGGTTTAGGATTGTTAAGGGTCGATTATCCAGTCACGACTGTATCTACAAACCGTCCATGTCGCTTGTGTTTGGTGCCAATTAGAACATGTCAGCATGTTAATACTCTAAACTGAGGCGGTTAGCATGATTAGGTTCATCTATCTACTCTAAATTTAGTTATTAGGCTGTTTTTTACCTTGAAGTGTTTCGACGTGATGACGTGTCTTTAAGAAAAAAAAGCTCCTATCTAAATCATACTCATTGTCTAATTCAAAGGATGTTGTATGATTTGTAGTCTCAACAGCGTAGTATATAGATCCTGTTAGCTGTTAGCGTCACACAACAGGAGTTTCAGCTCTGAGAGTGGATGTTTGTTACTAAAGTGCCCCCAGTAAATCATGTATGTCGCTTCTACCGCTGACATTTTACAAAGACAGAAAATCTTTATGCTTCAACCTTGAGCGTTTCATGTCCGTCCAGGCCTTGGAAACAATCCAGCCTTCGCTCACCTGGTGGAAGCGGAGAAAATAAATGGCACGAGTCAGTTCTTGAAACGACTCCTTTACCATCACAACTCAGTCATTATTTGTTTAATTTATCTGCCATTAACCAGCGTGATTTGTAAGAAGAAAGCCCAAGGAGAGAGTGGTGGTTCTGAGTCTCGTCTGCGGATATAAAAGAGCACCTGCGGGTCCAAATAAAGCCACATCAATACAGTGTCTCCTGTCGTCAATAGCGTGGTGCGCTCACAGCTTTCAAAGACATTGAATGAGACGGAGCTTCTTTACAAAACAAGCCAAACAAAACTTTGGCTTATAGAGTAAGACAGCCAGGATCAAGGACGGGGAACCTTTGAGTGTTGGGAACACAGTCCTTCAGCAGTCTGTTTCTCCCTCAGACTTAATCAGCCAATTACAGCTATCGATTAGCTGCGCACCTGTTGAGCCGGGTCGCCACTTTTCAAGGACGAAGAGCAGCCGGCGTTCTCTCCGTTCAGGGTTCGGCTCCTTCGCAGCGAACGTAGACTGATTACGCTGTGTTATTCTAACAACTCAATTTCTCTTTTTCACGTCTTTATCTGCCTCCAGCACTCTCTGACTCATTTCTTGTCTCTCCTTTGCATTCACGCCGCCTTTCTCCTTGTCTGACCTTTGTCTGCTTTGTTTTCCCTCCACTTCCAACACCTCTCACACGCTGCCTCCTTCTTGTTTATCCTCTGCCTTCCAGTGGCCCTGTACGCCATCAGCGCCGTCTACTTCGCCGGCGTGATGGTGCGTCTGATGCTGACGCTGACTCCGGTGGTGTGCATGCTCTCGGCGGTGGCTTTCTCCAGCGTCTTCGAGCACTACATGGGAGACGACACCAAGAGGGAGAAGCCTCCCGCCGAAGACAGTAGCGACGAGGATGACAAGAGGAACTCTGGGAATCTCTACGACAAGGTCAGGACGGGGTGGGCCATGACGCCGCGTTAATCTGAGGTGGTAAACAATGTCCATAAAGAAATGATCTCCTCGCTCTTTGTCCTGACATGTTTTAAATTGTGCCTGCCCAAAATGTAATAACCTAGAAACACAAGAAAAGCTTAAAAGTGTCGTAGAAGAAACTCAGCTGAGGTGTTTTTCTAAATGGCACACTTTCATAGCACCTTTCAGGGTGTGGATTTGTCTCCGTCGTGTGTTTGTCAGCTTCCCTCCTCGCTCCCCGCCAGTTTGGGTAAACTGTGATTCAGCCGCGACTGTTGCCGTAATTTTAGCCGTCTCACTTTGTTGGATTTCGAGCTAAGTGCTGTCGGCTCCAGAACACCTCGTAATCCCATCTTTCCGTGCGCTGCCCCCCAAAATACCTTCAAAAAGAAGATGTCAGCTCAGGCCACATATCTCATAAAACAAACACGTGCTTGTAAAATTACAGTCATAAACACACACAGCGTCGAGATTAAACCCGTCGCTGAATGACACTGAAAACTCCATTAAGACAGACGCTGACGTGAAGCGTTTCTTTTGTTTATCTGGTGTCATCGCGGTTCTGGAGAACCATGAGGTTAAAGCCCTCGTTTGCTCATCAGTTGTTCTTCTGAATTAATTGTGATTACATTTGGTAATTGAATTAGTTAGCTGCCTAAATTAGCTTTATTTATCCAGGAAGTCTAATTGAGATAATCATCTGAGGGCGATCAGACGATCTGATGAGGGAGAAAATAAAAGATGCACTCACCAATATTATACCAAATTTCTATAGTTTTCTCCTCTTAAGTGTGATAAATGCCATCTTAATCTAGCCTTATGTTATATCCTAATATTTGCATTATTAAGGGGAATATATTACGTTTTTATAACCAGTTAGCCCAGTTCGACCCGTCTCCCGTCGCTCTACCTGCTGGCGGCCCGGTTGCGGTTGTGGCGAAACTCAGCTGCTTTTCCTGCAGTCCGAGACAGTGGAGCTGGAGTCACCCACGTGCAAGATGAGAAAATCACTGGAGCTGAACGACACAGAGAGCTGCCACAACTGTGACCCGGTTCAGCCTCCAGGTACAGAAACAGGAGACGGGACGGACTGTGGGGAAGCATTAAAGCGGCTAAGATATGGATCGGCGCTGCCAGTCAGAACTTACATAATGAAATCAAAGCACAACCGGGATAATTCATGGGTCGGGCCTTTAAGTTCTGTATCCAGGCAGCCAAGTGCACAACTAATGACAAGAAGATCTGTGAATCAGTTTGTGGATTCTGATTCTGCCCCAAAACATCCATCTATCATCTCTACACCTTAATCCTCACCAGGGTCATGGGGGGCGGAGTCTATCCCAGCTGACTCAGGGTGAAGGCAGGTTCACCTGGACAGGTAACCAGTCTATCACAGGGCTACACTTTGAGACAGACAACCAAGCACACTCACATTCACACCTACGTACAATTTAGAATCACCAATTAATCTCAGCATGTTTGTGGACTGTGGGAGGAAGCCGGAGAACCCGGAGAGAACCCACGCTGCACGGAGAGAACATGGAGACTCCATGCACAAAGATCCCGGGTGTCCTCACCGGGACGACCTTCTCACTGTGAGGCGACGGTGCTAACCACCAACGTGACTGTGACTGATACAGAAGTCGGGATCCAGACTGATGAAGGCGACGACTCACGACCAGAAATCAAAGTGCAGATTGTCAGCTGACTGTAAAACCCTCCGGACACCTTCAATATTTCATTCTCTTTCTCTCTGAACTCTGTTCAGCAGAGACTTTAAGGAACAGCTCCCAAAAGATCGTCATGTGATCTTCCAGGGCATCACCCTGATCCACCATCTGATTCATATCTCTCTCCACAGATTGCGTTTTGCATATTGCTGCCTGGATACAAACCCACTTGATCGCCCACCACCAGTAATCACACACACGCACAGCGATGCGCTCGATAAAAAAATCACAAATATGTATAAAAAACATCTGTAAGTATAACTCCATAGCTCCTCAGTGGAGTCGTGTTGGTTTTACAGTTCGCAGTTCGTTCTAATGGTGAAGTGCGCTGTACTTTATTTCTGGAGGAGTTTCAGATGTTCATCATCTCCTTATTGGCAGGAATCAGATCTTCCATCATCGTATACATCTGCTATCGCTGACTTTCAGCAGGCAGTTTAGGTGTCAGAGGTAGTAACTGGAGGTGTTATTATATTTTGCCAAGTTCTTCCTCACTGGAGTCGTTTCTGTAATTTCCTGTAAAATAATATTAAGTCATCACAGGGTTCGTCTCACAATCCTCAGTGATGCATCTTCACGCAGCACAAAAAAAAAAATCGAGAATGCTCTAAAATACTTTCCTCAATTAGTTCATTCAATAATTCATGCCACTCAATAATTCATATTTCTGGAAAGCTTCAGACTCTGCCGCCTGTCAGAATAGCGTCTGTCTCCCCCTGCAGGCCGGCAAGGTGCGCAAGCATGTGTCGGAGCAGGAGAAGGCCGAGGAGGGTCTGGGGCCCAACATCAAGTCCATCGTCACCATGCTCATGCTGATGCTGCTCATGATGTTTGCCGTCCACTGCACCTGGGTCACCAGCAACGCCTACTCCAGCCCCAGCGTTGTGCTCGCCTCGTACAACCACGACGGGTGAGAGCCGCAGTAATGGTCCATAACACAGGAAGATGAGTTCCTCCACTCTACATGCAGATCAGCACATATGTCAGGAATGCACGTGGAAGGAAGACGCGGCGAGCGCATTTATATTTCATCAGAACTTTGTGGAAAAATTGATAAGCTAACCTGTAAGCGTTAACGTGATTGCTTTGCTTTGTTTTTCTGGGTCACAGAGAACATCTGTGGACCACATCTGCAAAAAAAGCTGATTTATTATTCACAGTGAAATTCTTTACAGGCATAATTATTCTTTTCAGGCACTGGGTAGGAAATATTGAAGACTAAATGCTAGATGCGAGGTCTCATACATATATTAATGCAGTAGTTCTCAGACAATGGTTGAACCGCGGCATGACTGTCACGCTGCTCTCTCCTCCTACGCCCACACATCCACACGCTAACGTAATACGATTAGCATTCCTGCAGTTAATTGGCTGCCTGGCTTTCTGTGCTGGAGGTAAATTTAGGGCTCGAGGTGTTTGTTAACCCCCGGTTTGTTATGCACGGATGCACTATTTTCAGCTGTTGTTGCCCTTCTGATTCAAAGGCTTAGCTGAAATATTAATAGCCTCGGCAGCCATATGCCTGTCACCGCGGCTACCTGTCAACCTTGTTTTCCTCGTTAGGACGCGCAACATCCTGGATGACTTCAGGGAGGCCTACTACTGGCTGAGGCAGAACACGGACGAGCACGCTCGCGTCATGTCGTGGTGGGATTACGGCTACCAGATAGCCGGCATGGCCAACAGGACCACGCTGGTGGACAACAACACGTGGAACAACAGCCACATAGCGCTGGTAAGACCTCCTAGTGGTTTCTTCTGCTTCCACTACAAGCTTCACCGTGTTGTTGGTTTTTTTTTTAATGTAATTGTATAAAACTGCTCCCTGCAACAAGCCAGATAATCTTGTTTGCTTAAACTTTTCTCATTGAATCTTCACTGTAGGGGAATTTCAGCTAATTGCTGTCAGATTCTGTGGGTTTGATGTATTTTTTCCTCTCTCTCTTTCTCTCTCTGCTGCCAAACGATTGTTTTTGTCTCCTAGCTAAATCTGTTGAAGCCCTCTAGCTTTCTTCTCTTCCTCCACCTGTCGCCTGTTGTCTCTTCGGCATCTGTCCACGGGAAATGTAATTACAGGGAATGCGTGATGGAGCCCTGTTTAATAATTCCCCTTTTCGCCGCCGCCGCTGCGTGCCTTCTGAAGCGGGAAGCTCCAATTATAGCGTGACTTGTCATTTTTTTATCGCCGCTTTCAGGTGGGGAAAGCCATGTCGTCCAACGAGAGCGCCGCCTACAAGATTATGAGGTCGCTGGACGTGGATTACGTGCTGATCATCTTCGGGGGCGTGATCGGCTACTCGGGCGACGACATAAACAAGTTCCTGTGGATGGTGAGGATAGCGGAAGGAGAGCACCCGAAGGACATCAGGGTGAGTGGAAGGAAACACCTGCACCTGTGAGTAGCGCTATCCTCCAGGAAGCAGCAGTGAAATCAGTGTTTCCTCCTAAAACATGCACCCTTTCACATTATAATGATGCTCAAGAACAAGAAGAGGCGCGTCACGTATTCACAGCCGGGATGATAAACCCTGAAATGCACTGACAAGGTCTGTTATTCATGACTCGGAGGCTCTTTGTGAGCAGCAGCAGCAGCAGGTTTTTTTGAAGCAGGAAGTCACCATGTTCGTGTTACAGCATCATTTATTTTGTCAGGCTCGGATTCTCGACATACGGCAGCTTGTGAACGCAGCTCGGTAGCCGACTTTAGGTCATTTTCACTGTTGTTGTTTGGCTTGTTTGGTTCCAGCCAGGAAAAAAAAAAACTTTGCATATAAAAACAAGAAAGGACTTTTATTTTTGTCACGTTTGCTTCCAACAGGTTTGAACGTATAATATTCTTGTTTCTGTTTTTTCTTCAGCTGCACACGACTCTTAAAAATCATCCTGAAACTCTGACACGTGATGTTTGGAAGGAAATAAATCTTCTGAGCTATTAAAATCCAGGGAGTTAGATAGGTTAAAATAAATTAATTTATCTTTTACGTGGAAAAGGTGCCACATGCACATTTAACGAGGTTAGTTCCCTTAACAAGAGACACAAAAAAGTACTAACCGGCATGTGCTTACATGTGAATTAAATCAGTGGGGAGGATATTAATTGAGGAAAGTTGACCTGCAAGAGGACAAATATTTATTTTTTAAACTGAAATTGTGAAAGTTTATGTTTCTAATTGTGTTTTCCTTTGCATATAAGGACATTGTCACCATGAGCTGCTTTGGAAAATACAGACTTGGTGCATAAATGTTCACAGGAATGAAGGAAAGGGCAACTGAACTGTTGCCTTTTAGTTAAACATGGACAGACAGGTGACGGTGTCGGTTGTGTTGTCCTGCATGTTATCAACAATTAGCTAAAACTAATGCAACAGTTTTGCTATAAATCCCAACGGTTCTGCCTCACACTGACGGCTATTTCTAATATGTTTCCCACATTAATTTTTCATCAGTGCAGGCAGAAAAATTTTCAGCTCACAGAGAGAAAAAACTGCTTTATTAGTCAAGACTGCATTTTCTGACTAATGACAACCAGGTAGCAGCAGGCTGAATATTACCTGCTTACTTTTTAATGACAAAGTGCAGAAAAAGTAGGAAATAAACTCCACACACTTCTGTTTTAATCACATTTCCACTCGCTGATGTGTCGGGGGGGAAAAATCCCTGCATTTGCACTTAGGCGTTACCATGGCGACCAGATGATTTGCATTAAAACATGGTTAGTTTGAGCCAAACCGAACAGGTTAGGCGTTAAAGGAGCTCGACAGCTATGAAAACACACTGAAGCCTTAATTAGTTGTGTGACAGAGATTTATTCCCAAACACCTGATGCAGTGAGAGTGTTTGGAAATAATATAATGATTGTGAAATTAGTTTCCTCGTAGTTTGTTTAATATCAGTTTCATAGTGTTGTGATACAGTCGTGACTCGATGATCCGACACTAAATGTAAAACCTTCTTCTATGTCGGATAGCAAGGCTGTCGGATTGTCAAGACGGAGGTCCAGATACAAGGAGGGCTTGATGCTGGAAGGCTCATTAGTTGTTCATTATTGTTCATAGTTGTTATAATAACTAGTGTATTGTTAGAACACTATGCATTGCTGGACTTCAGCCTAACTGACTAACTGATTGTGCACGTTCCGGCCACTTCCACCCCGGGGCAGCGCTCTGACGGGGTGGAAGTGTCCAGAACACACAGGCAGTACTTGGCTGCTGATGCTAGTTTAGTTAACGCTCACACTTCTGTTTCCACCATCGGTGGCGGCGGGGGAGTGGCAGATACGCTCCACCGTTACCATCCATGTTTACTTCCATAAACACTGAGCACGCTCGCTGCGTGTGACGTTGTCGTGTCCTCTTCTGCGCATGCGGGACACTTTTGGGTCGTATGAAGTTCACACAGCAGATCACATACAAGTGGCATTTAACTGGAAACGTGAAGGAACTCACAAAGAAATCCTCATTGAGCATCAAGTCCTGCAGTGTGAACGTAGCCAATCTGTGGGATTGTTCAGTCAGATAATACGCCGTTATCCTGATTGGTGACATTAAATGTCATGTCGGACTCAGAATCCAAGGCTGTCGCTATGTTAAGGCTGTTTTTCTGGGTTCTGTTGGTTTTTCCTAAAAACCTGTTGGAGAGCAGGTTTAGGATTGTTAAGGGTCGGATTATCGAGTCACGACTGTATTTCAGTTTCATGTGTCATATTACGGTACTACTTGTGTTTTATCGTAGCTTATTTTTATTTTAAGTAATTCCTCTTTTAGCTTTTCTATTCAGCGCTGCAGCAGCAACATCCTGCACAAGAGTTTCCTTCAGGACTTTCTGTCTTATCTTATCTGAATCTTTTAAACGTTTGTGGAAGCGTCCAGTGTTTTTGCGATGTCGTATATTTATTTTCATGGACTTTAACCTTCTGAAACTCATTAACTAGCGTGAAACTGGCCCAGGTCCCCGATTGCAGGCAGTATTAATAATATTATTATTATTATTATTATTTTCAGACTCCTCGCACTATTGTTAATGAGTTTTTTAGCCTGTGTTGCTGGATGGTTTTAGTATCTCCTCCTTTTGCTCTTGTGCAGGAGAGCGACTACTTCACCCCGCAGGGAGAATTCAGAGTGGACAAGGCCGGTTCGCCGACTCTGCTCAACTGCCTCATGTACAAGATGTCCTATTATCGATTTGGTGAAATGCAGGTGAGTTGGAGCAGAAGTGCTAAACAAACGTTGTTAACACGTTTGTGGCCGAGGTGCTTTGATCGTCCTCTCCACCGGGTCAAGGCTGCAGAACAACTCTCGACGGAGGAAATTTTTTGGGGTTATAATCCACTTTGCAGGTATAAATATTGAGTTCCAGCTCTGTGTCGGGATCAGAAGGTAACAAGCAGCTGCAGCGAGGAGCTCTCCTACCGTATCTTACACCGCATGCGGTTTCACCAGAGAATAACGAGCAGCTGCCACCAGCAAAGGTGTAAAACTTCCTGCTACTGTATCTTAAAAGTAGAGCCGGCTGACAGACAGGCAGAAGGAGGTTTAAGGAGGTGCCTTGGGGAGCTCCTGAAATTTGGAGAGAGGATACTGGGAGGAGGAGGAGGAGGAGGAGGAGGAGGGGGAAGAGAGACGAGAGACGAAAGGCTGTAGCAGGAAATGTGAAGGATTGGTGGAAGCTTTGAAATGCGCCACGGCTACTTCTGTTCGGCAGCAGAGGGGAGATGAGAGGGATCCTTCCTGCCAGGTGCTTACATCCCCGCTGTAGATGTGGCCCCGGCCAGCGGCTCAGCACAGACGGCAGAATCAATGCAGCCAGCATCGGCAGGCAGACAGAAAGCCAGAGCTGTGTGTAGCTGGAAGCGCTGTTTCTGGGTAGAGAGATGAAGAGAGTGAGGCGACGGAGGACGGCATAGAGGGAGGGAGGGAGGCTGGTGAGGGAAGAAAGGAAGAGTTAGAGATTAGGTTTATGGAAACAAGATGTGACAAGGAGAAAGTGAGGCTTCGAGGACACCAGGAGGAAGACGATGAGGGGAGTGGAGGGAAACTGTAATACAATACAGTACACGAAGCAGAACCAGCCTCTGATGTCTCATTTACATTCTTTACATTTAAATGACAAGTAGATTAGTGATTAACAAGACCAGAGGTTTGTGGCTGAAATGTCTTTGTCCTCTGAAGTAGCCTGAAGGCTGAGATGCTGCAGAGTGGAGCCTGAAAGGAAAGGAGGAAATATGAGAAAAACAGAATAGAGTGAAGGTAGATGGAGGCTGCAGCTTTGAGAATGGAGGTGACAAAAGTGAGAACAGAGTCTGAAGGATGAGTAATCAAGAGCTTTTACAGCAGAATAACGGGGACAAGAGGGAGTCCGTGGCTCATAGGAAGTGTAATGGCAGCGTAGCCAGAGTGCAGACGCCGTAGTGTGATCAGAGTGCCATCAGACCTGCTCGTTGTCGTCTATAACTGTGTTTGAATTGTCTTAAGAGGACAGTTTTTATATGGCGACGTTTCTCTTTTTGCTTTAGGTTCATTAGGGGGGATTTGCAGCGAGTTAGGAAGGAATATTAAAGCCGCTCACGTCTAAATGCAAAATGACAAGCAGCAGTCGCTTAGCAGGGAGGGCTAGCCTAGCGTAGCACACATCAAACAAACAGGACAGAAGATGCTAATCCTTTGAACCCAGAAGGCGGCTGGCGGCTTTGAAAGGCGTGTTGTCTCGACGGAAACGCAGGAATTGCATCAGAAACTTTCAGAACAGAGAGAATAGTCAGATGCTTGTGCCTTGCCATTTGGTCGAGAAACTTCACCTGATCTCAGCTAAAAAACGCTTCATGCTACATGTCTCCAACATCGGTGTCCACTCCGCTGGATTGAGCTGCAGGATGTGTTTCCAGAGCAGGTTGGGGGAGAGTATGGAAGCTAGTAAAGTCTGCAGAGCCACAGCTACGGGCCCACGTAAGAGTCTGGTACATGTTGATTCCTGTTTTTGAAACTTAGACTTCAGAGTTTTCTGTCCTTCTAGCCGTGGTTGTTCTGTTACCATAGAGACTAAAGATGAGCCCACATTGACAGGAATATACAACTGGAGCCAAAAACCTCCAGAAGCTGCTCTGAGGGTTGATCATTGAGCTGTCGAGGTGCCGATAGACGTGTTCTGTTCCCTCTGATCATGAAGCAACTGCTGGCCGTCGCCACGCTTTCATTCACAGGAAATAAATTCAAATCATTGTTTTCTGAGCCGGATGCTAGAAAATCATGCGAATAACAACCTTGCCGCTCCCGCAGCTGGACTTCAGGACACCGCCGGGCTTCGACCGGACGCGCAACGCCGAGATCGGCAACAAGGACATCAAGTTCAAGCACCTGGAGGAGGCGTTCACTTCGGAGCACTGGCTGGTCAGGATCTACAAGGTGAAGAACCTGGACAACAGAGAGCCGCTGGACCACAAGCTTCGCAGCGTGGTGCCCAAACAGAAGTACACCTCCAAAAAGGTAACAGGGAGTGTCCTGGCTGGTGATCGAAATCAGTGGTTGAATCACTCATTTTGTCTTCCAGTTTTAGAATTTTTTTTTCATGGTTGCACCAAACAAAGCATCTTACTTCCCGTTTCTAAGGAGGGTTTTGGCCCAATGCCATCTCCATCAGAACCAGCTTCAACAGGAAGGTTTTCACATACAGGACTTTAACTCTGTGTTTTCGTGCATAACAGTCAACACTGACATGTAGAAAGTATTTTAAGACAGATAAAAAGGTTTGAAAATTGCAGCGTAGGAAGTCAGTCGGTTAGTGCTGAGTGAGTTTTATTACTGTGTTTATATATATAGACACTGTGGTTGTGTCCGAAATCATCCACTCACTCCCTACTCGCTACCTAGGCACTACTGTATAGGGAACCATGTAGTAAACTGTAGGGCAAACTAGCATTTCGGACACTACTCGAGCTATTAATTACGTCTCTCGCTAGCCACGATTCGTGCTGTAGCAGCGTAGTGCAAACACATCACATTGTGTAGCTACGAAACGGGTAAAATCAAATCTAACAAAACATAAACAGGCAATTACATTTTAAAGACAAGTTTTTGTGCCTGTCGTTTGTCTCGCTTCCTTTCACGCGATGCACGATGGTCCATACTGCTGGTTAGCGACCATCAGCTGTACACTACCTTTCACGGTGCATTGTGGGATATTAGAGTGACTATATAGGGTGAAACTGTTGGAACTTAACATTCGGACAGCACTACAGAACAGTGTACGCCCTGTATAATGCACTGTGTAGATGTCGGAGGTGATATCGGACACAGCCTGTAGTTTCACAACCAGGAAGTGATTCACTGAGCAGCTGACTGAACTGTAAACGAAACATGAATCCAAATTCATAGCAATTCATTGTTTCCGAGCAATGTGCGCGGTCGTTATACCGAGTCCAGTCTTTCTGAGCTCTCTCAAACACTCGATGTCGGTCCGGTCTGCGACGGGTTTAGTGTTCAGGCCTCGGGGTGGAAGCTGGAATTGGATCACGGGCTCAGGTTCTGAACTCTCAGCTTAGAGAGGCTTCAGCAGACTTCTAGACAGACACAACAGGGCAGATGATGTAAATGTACCCCTACGCTGGCACTGATCTGTGCAGCGAACACACTCAGAGCCTGTTGACATTGTTGTATATGACAACATATAATCTGCATCCTGGGAACCGTGGAGTTCTGTTTGGGTTCAGTTTGTATTCAGGCAGGATTTGATTTTAAGGCCGCCTTATAGAACTGATGTTTGGTTTGTTTATCGTCACAAAGGCAAGAAAAATCATGTTATTTACTCTTTAGTGAAAATACACGAGATGCTTCCATTTTATTTGTCAGTACTTTTACATAACATGCAGTTGATTAGGAGCTGCACGGTGTCTCGGTGGTTAGCACCGTTGCCTCACAGCTAGAAGGTCGCCGGTTTGCGTCCCGGTGAGGACACCTGGGATCTTTCTGCGTGAAGTCTCCACGTTCTCCCCGTGCTGCGTGGGTTCTCTCCGGGTTCTCCGGCTTCCTCCCACACAGTCCAGAAACATGCTGAGGTTAATTGGTGATTCTAAATTGTCCGTAGGTGTGAATGTGAGTGTGCTTGGTTGTCTGTCTCTAAGTGTAGCCCTGTGATAGACTGGTTACCTGTCCAGGTGAACCTGCCTTCACCCTGAGTCAGCTGTGATAGACTCCGCCCCCCACCACCCTAGTGAGGATTAAGGTGTAGAGATGATGATAGAAGGTTTATTTGACTTGTTTATTTTTTGTTTTTCCCGCCAGACCGCCAAGAGGAAGCGAGGACACATCAAGAACAAACTCGTTCTCAAGAAGGGCAGGAAACTCCAAAAAAAATAACGGCGACAACGACGAACTCTAGGAAAACAAACAAAACGCGAAGAAACCTCTAACAACCAATGAAGAAGAAGAAGAAGAACAGTGGGGCCGTTCACCTGGCACTTGGTCTCGAGCGCTTCTCGTTAGAGCGCCCTCATGTGTTGAGGAAGTGTCACATCTGGCTGCGCTCCAGAACCGTTGTCCGTTTTATCCTGAGGACGTCTGTCTGTCTTGCTTTTTTTTCTCTCTCTCTCTCTCTCTCTCTCTCTCTCTCTCTGGTTTTTGTTTTGTTTTTTACTTGAATGTGCGACAAGGCATAGGGCTGCTCTACTCGGTTCGATTCTTTTCCGTGGTATTATGTTAATTAACTGCTCATCAGTCCAGGGATCGGGGCGGAGGAGGAAGCGAGAGGAGGAGGAACATTTGCACCAAAGACCCATCGACCTTGCTCCACGGCACATGTGAACTCATCACTGAGAGCGAGGCGTGAACGCTGAGGACTGTTCCTGACTCGTGTACAGAGGACGGTATGCGGTATGGAGGAACACGGCCCACCTGTAATATTAACCCTCCCGTCACATCCTTTCTGTCTGCCTGGCTCCCCCCACCCTGAGTTTTCAACAGATTCTTTAGGAAAGAAATTGGCCTAATGTGTAAATATGTGATGTAAAGAAAATGTCTAAAAGGATGATAATATATTGGATTGTTGTGGTGACTTTTAAATATGCAGTCTTTGGTTTCTCTCCTGGTTTCTCTTTATGTGATCCTTTCTTTATGTATGACAGCAAATAGAACAGCGAATGCAATAATTCTTGTACAGAGGGGCTCGAGGTTTCGTCGGAAGAATGATTCTGAATGTGAATTTTTACACCTCCCTCCCCCTGCCCCTTCCTTTTTTTTTCATAAATAGATTGTACATTTCTGCTGCTAGGGTTTTAAAGACGGAAGCAAGCAACTGTGTGTAAAAAGTAGTGATAATAAATTAGGCCTCCCGTCCTGCAGGGGGAGCTCTCTAGTTCGAGTGAGCAAAAAGCCTAGTGCCTCATCGCTGGTCGTCATCGCGTGGATTTTAATTTGTGACTTTATCGGCGCGGCGGGGCTCGTCTGAGGCATCGGAAACTGGATTTTTTTTGTTTGTTTTTTTTCTAAACGTCTGGGACTCGACTGGTGAACTGTGAAGGACGGTGGTTAGGATACAGGCGCTGAAGCTAGAGAAGACAGCCGAGGTCGGGATCGGACCTCCATCTCTGCCTGTAACCTCAGACAGACTAACAAACGTCTTCAGAGCTCTGGAGCTGCGTCCCAAATGTGTACTGCATAGATCAGCTGTTCTCAGCAGGGCAGCAACAAGCAGCGACTCTAAAAGCTTCCAGTTCATAGTTCTCCCTGTGAAATGTCTAAAAGATGCTCATCACGGTTCCTCTGGGGCTTTTCTGATGTCTTGTGTCACCTGAATAGCAGCCACAACCGCAGAATAATCCACTTCTGTGCATGTAAAGGGAGGAGTGGCAGGTCTTTGCATTGGAAACAGGCATTTTTATGCTTGGAAATGCTTCATGTGCTAAATTCATGTCTGTAAAATGTCAGAAAACGTGCATCAGTTTTCCCCAAACACCAGATTTTGTCGTCGGTTGTCGTCTTTTGTTCGAGCAACAGTTCAAAAACGTTCAATGATTTCAAACGCAGAAGGTTTGGATCTTGAAAACCACAAATATTGTCTGTTTTTTGTCTTGAAAAACTCGACTTCACTCGTAAAATAACCGCACATTAACGGGTTTATCGGCACACGTGTGTTGCATCTCTTCTATTTCGCTTGTGAGCTTAACGTCCCGATCATTTGAGCTCTGCAACCTTCCTTTGTAATACCGAGTTGTTCTGTTGCATCGTCTCGGTCCGGTCTGCGTAGTAGATTCGTTTAGACGTTAACGGACACAATCGGCTCTGATTAAATCACCTCAGAGGAACTTTACGGTTCGTACACGGTATAGAAAATCAGTTTTGTTATTGATTTATCAGTTAGTACGGAACAATGAGAGCGCCACAATACAAACATAGATCAATAAAATAGAAATGGAAATTAAAAGAAGAATAATTAAAATAAATGTGAAATAAATAAATCAATTATTTTATTTATTTTTCTTTATATTTCTACTTTGATTAGCCTTTTCTTTTATGGATTCATTTTTGATTAATATCACCACATTATTTAGTTTTTGTTTTATTTATTCCTCTTTTTATTTATTATTCTTTTATTGTTTTATTCTTGTAATTCGGCGCTCTCACTGCTCCATAAGTTAGGACATAAAATGTTCAACAAAAAAAACCCAACAGATCATATGTTCTCTTGTTTTGTCCAAAATCTCGTTATATTTAGTTTAGACTAAGAAAACCAGCCGATATTCACGTTTGTGGATTTTTGCTTTAACGATGACTTTAGTTAATGATGAGATAATTAAATCGTTTATGGATGAACATGTCTTGTTGCTGTAGGATGCAGTCTGCAGCTGGGACGCGGCTCTACAACGCTAACCTTGGTCTTCTTATTCTACGGGCGCTGCACTGTTCTGTGTGTTCGGGGTCTTCAGGCGCCGCGTCTACAAACTAAAGGAGTGTTTCTGTACGTGCACGCTTCGCTAACTTTATTTTCTATCAAATAAGTGACACATCAAAAGACTAACACATCACACGGCTGTTTGGTGACATCTCACGGAAAGTGACTTTTATTAACTGTTTGCTTTTTTTCTTTACAAAATTGTCTCTGAATCACTTTGTTCTCTTTGCTTTTGATCTCCTGTGAAACTCCGTCACCGTCTCAGACCTTCAACACGACGCCACATCGTTACTCCGCTGCACGACGACGCCTGAACCGTGTTGCGTCCTTTGATTTCTCGTTTGTCGAGAGCGGACGGAGTTCAGACTAAGCCTTAATGTGATGTACAGCTTGTTGCCCTCTTCCTTTCTTTTTGTTCTCCATGTTGTGCTTCTTTTTTAAACGGTTCCTTCCTCTCCTACGTTTCTTAGTCGCTCCTCCTTTGCCGTCTGTCCCCAACACCGTTTTTTGTTTGACGCTTCCCGACTCACGTCTCACCTTCGAAGTTTACATTTTTACATTGTTGTTCTGTTCAGCCATCTTTAAATATACACTTTAATGAAAACACTGGCGTATGTGGTTTTTATTCTGACCTCCCAGCATATTCACATCTTTCCTCTGCAGATTTTAAACCCGGGTGAACGCAAGCTGAGCCACTTGATGGCAGCATTAGCCTGTGGATGAAGACATTTGCTTCTGAGTCTGCAGCAGAATGTATGGAGGGTTACGCAACGCCGGGCCAAGTGACGGAGTGCTCTGAAGCATGTTTGTCTTCATGTGGAGCTGAGTTTTCCTTTAAACACATGATCACCTGTGGGATCCCGTGAAGCCATCTGATGAGACGCATGTTCATCAGGACGCTCTGCGAAGCCTGAAGCATGAAGGCAGGAGTTCTTACGGAGCCTGGGTTTAATTTGGGATTTTTATCTTTAAAAACAAACTTCTACATCAAAGGGAGTTATTCTCTCCAACTACTGGTCTGAAATTCCTCCTTTGCAGCTTTTCTTGTGGTGTTTATTTCCATCACTACGTTTGTACGACACCTTCCTGGTTCGCCCTCAAACGAAGAGCCTCCACCGTTACCTCCTCACCTTCTGCTGGGGCTGCATCCCATTCCTCAGAGATCTGGGAGTACATTCACAGACTATAAATAAAAGATGGACGGAGCCACCGTTGGTTTGTGGACTCCTGTTTCAAAGCCTCGAGTTCGGCTTTCAGGCGACACCATTTTGTTCTTTTGAAAGCAGCGAGCAAGGAGTCGAGGACGCGGTGATGCAGCAGCAGCAGTCTGTCACTCAGTAGCCTGAAACATCCTTTGTCTGTTTTACGCTAAATGGAACTAAACCGTACTAAATGAACATCGTGTTTTATTGAAGGAGAACTGAAACTAGCAATCAAGACCACAGGCTGATCAGAAAAATGTTCGCTGTCGTAGAAAATCAATAAGTAAGGAGGGACATTTTCTAATAGAGTCGCCCCCTGATGGCGACGCAGATTTGAAGTCGCTTTAATGTCGGCTTTACTTTTCAGAAACAGGCTACATCCATCGTTGTGTCACTTTCGTCAGACCAGCCGACCAACCAGGAGCTTTTAAAGCAACAGGAGCTAAAACTGAACTTTTCAGACAAGAAGAGGTGCTGTTTGAGAAAAATAATGTAAAACCATGTGAACGTACTTTAGGAGACCCCAAAATGAAAATCAGTTCATATGGGCTCTTTAAGTTACGACCATAGTAGAAAACTCCAGTTCTTCAAAAGCTAAGACGACAACCACACACGCACCAGAAAACAAATGTTCTCAGAAGAAAGGAAGTCTTCCTCCAAACCATCTTTAGACACCAGCTCTAGGACCGACAGTAAAGTCCTTCTCTAGAGCCAGTTTGTCCTTTCTAGGCTACCGTAGAGAGACGGTGGTGCAACACGATGGACTCTGTGAAGGACGACCCACTCTGTCTGCAGATGTAAAGAACTCTAAGGTAACGAAACAGAAGGATTATCTTCAGGTGAATTTACCCCCTGAATCCTACACAGTGCCTATTAATATATCTGAATAAGGGGACCTGGAGCACACTGGAACAGGGATCCAAAGGTGGGAGTTACCGTAGGCTGTGTCCAAGTTCTACCTTTGGATCGACCATCCAACAGTTCTGACACAGTGATGCTGAAACATTGGTCCGGGCAACTGTTTCTGACCATTAAATGTTTTAGACCAGGGATCTCCACCTTCGGTCCTGGTGAGCTACGGTCCTGCAGGTTTTAGATGTTACTACAACACACCTGACTCACATTAATGGATCTCCAGCAGCTTGTTGTCAAGTTCTACACAAGTCTGTTAATGATCCATTACTGTGAGTCAGGTGTGTTGCAGTAACGTCTAAAACCTGCAGGACAGCAGCTCACGAGGACCAGAGCTGGAGATCCCTGGACTAGACTAAGCTTTTGAAGTTAGCCTCTGGTTCAGCAGTTAAGGTGCAGAACTGACAACCAGTCCCCCCCCCCATGATTCAAATTGGATACAAAACCATACATATAGATGTATGTACTTATTGTCACACCTGGAGATCATGATACCAAGTCCAGATCTGAACTAAGATGCCCTACAGAGACTGAAGAGTTTTCATAACAGAGATTTTTGTTGACTTATGAAACCTTTATTCTGTTGTTTTTTTGATAAAAAGATTTCTGTGCTTTGAATGTAGACCATCTGATTTGAACTTGAATGTCCTCCAGACTCTTAAAACTCTTTAAATCCCAGTCTCTGATTTGTAAAGCATATAACTGTCATTTTACAGCTAAAATATGTACTTTTCATTTCTCCTTGGTAGTTGAACTCATAACTCTGTATTAATTTAAACCATTCCTGTGGTTTGTCTGACATCTCTTGTTATCACCACATTTGCCGATACTAGTAGATAATTCCTAATGTCCAGTTTGTTAGTTTTGCTTTTTAGCCGCTAGCATGCTAACGCTCAGAGCTAAATGTGAAGATGCTACAGTTGATGTGTTAGCTGTTTCATGTTTACTGTAACACTGAGCCTGGTCCTCCAATACTGATTATTGGATCATTGCATTCAGCTGATTGGCATGTTTTGAAGATTAATCCTAACATGCAATATCTGCTCCTTAGCATGCATACAGTCGGATAAATCTATATAAAAAAACAATACTGTTAGGTTTATAATGTTTAAACTTGTTTGGTAAATTTATGTCTTTATTGGAAAACACTTTGGCTCAAAGTCTGTGATTTTGTCCGTTAATAAGTGACTTGACCAACTGTAAACACGCTAATATGATAACGTTATACGACATGTCTTCATTTAGCTCACTACATGCTAATTATGTTAGCTGTGATCATGAATATGAAATGTGTTGTTGGCGCTAAATGTTAAGCCGAGTATCATGAATGCATGTATTAAGTTTTATGTGTAGTTTTTTTATTTTTTTAAACTCTAAGGCTACAGAAAAAGGTTCCCGCGGTCCGATAACGGCCTGTGGTGTGACTGATGAGGTAATTTGTTCCTTGCAGGACGTTACATAACAGACTCAGAACATCGCATTTAGTTTAAAAAAGGTAGAAGGTCTTTATTAATATACAGTCCTTTGTTTATCCACAATCACCATCTACTTCAGTGAGTCCACGTCCTTAAGAGAGTGTATAGCTGCTTGTTAGTTTCATGTTAGGCCAGTGTCGTAAAACAGGAATGAAAAGCAGTCTGTCCTGTACTGTACATAGACGCTGTAACAGATGGACGTAGCCTTTGGGTTTAAAAAGTCAGACTGATTTATATCTGCATTCTTTCTCACAGCCAGCAGGGGGCGACTCCTGAAAAAGACTGTATAAAGAGAAAATGATCCATCTTCTCTCCTGGTTTTTCACTTCAGGAAACACTGTTCAGGTCCGTTTATGGTGTCAGCTGGTAGTCTGAAGTCTCCTTTAACACAGTATGATGTTTTTTCTGTAAATTGTGGTACAGGTTAGAGTACAGTAGACTGTAAAGCAGGGAAAGTTTTGGATGGGGCTACCTTGTGATTGACAGATTGCTACCATATTGGCTTGTGTAGCGACCTGGATACACAAAGTTAGCAAAATGCCAAATCTAAAGCTGTCCACATCTCGGTGGCTACGTCCATCGTGTACAGACGGTCTACGCGACTGTAAAACAGCGTAAATAGACCGTCATGGTGGAGGCTACAAATTGGCATCTGGTAAATCCACCTGGCTAAAAGTACAAAACACAACAACACACTTAAGAATTAAATTGAAGGAAGCAGGTAGGAATTATGCTAATTATGCTTTTTATAAACAAAAATCCTCGAGGTGCCCGTTTAAATCTGTTTACGTTGGCCACTAATCAAACATGTTAATGTGAGCACACGGTATTATGAAGCTTCCTCTTCCATCCAGTTCCCCGTGATTGTTATTCTGGTAGATCCTCCTCTCATCTTCACAGAAGCAACCTTCCAGCGACCCCCAGATGCGAGAACATGGTTGTGTGTTTCCTGCAAGCAGCCTCATCTTTATTCATCCCCACCGGCGACCTGGAGATGCGTATTAGCTCCAGGAGCCACGGGCTGGCTGATTATTACACAAGTGTTATCTTAGGGGGCACAGATACAAAACTGATCCGGAGCGTTTAGCCACAAACACACCTTTTCTTTTGGAAGAGAACATGTATAACGGCCCGGATAGCTAAATGAGAGAGGTAGTAATGGAAATCTTCTGTCAGGCAGAGGTGTAGATAGAGCAACATGGCAAAAAATACAAAATAAACACAGTAAGCGTGTGTCGTAGCAAACAGTACGAGATGGGAAAGTAGCATAGTGACGATTAAAATGTGCCTAGATACATTCATAGTGCAGACAAAACAATCAGGACCTTCACTTTCTAGTAGCTTTGCTGTAATATACCGTATAATATATGATATAGTAACGCTAATGTAGTACGTCTGTTTACCTCTGGATTTACACGTCGTCTTAAATCTGGCTGGGTGACCTTGTTTCCTGTAAAGCTCTGAGAGACCACCCTGATTGTTAAAAGCCATAGATATAAAATAGTTGGTTTATCTCTATGGTAAAAGTGCTTTATAAACAAACCGCTACAGTATCACGTGTGACGGGAGGCTCGATCCATTCTAACGCTGCGTGACTGGACTAGAAGCTCAGAACCAAACCTTAACGATGTCCGAGAAAACATACTGATCGTTAAAAAGAATACAAAGTCGGTGGCAGACGTCGTTACTGTGCATGTGCAAAAAAAGGCCTTGGCAAGGTGAAAAATAGAAATACTCTACTTTGAATAGTAATACTATTAACTGTATATAAAAATGCTGTACTGCTGGCCCAAGAGTCCCAGACCTGGTCTTGGGTCAAGCAGTGGCGGCGATCCCTTTGGCACCTTGCTAGTTTCCTGTTAGTGTCTCCGTAGCATCACTCGGTGAGTCTAGAGGTCTGAGGAGGACTCTGCTCCGTCCGTCTGACCCCCGTCCTCGGTGTGGGGAGCTCCGATAGCGTCCATGAGAAAACAGCGCTGCTCTGATGTCAGGTCGACTTCCACAGCGGGTTGTTATAGATCCAACCTTCTCCCTGCACGGTTAGGAAGAAGAAAAACAAACCTCTGAGAGAATAGCAAACTTATAACTGTCCTGTTATTACAGACTCAAAGGGTCGGATCGCTAAAGTTTTCAAAAGTAAGACCAAATTTAAATCCAGCCCTGGAATACCGATAGTGCTCTATCAGCAGTGAAGGGGATGAAAGCAGCATTTCTTTCCAGAAACAACCTCCTGTTGACCCTGCAGAAGCCGTCCCAAAGGCCCGAGACTAAAGTTAGCTCCTTGTGCCAAAACAGATGTCGGCAGAAACTGCAAATAAATCTTCTGTCCGGCTTTAATCGCTCAGTGAACAGCACCGGGTTGTGCTGGTATCATAGCCGGGGCGAGGGCCCAGGTAGTCCCTCAAGGTCCAGACAAACAACAACAACGTTAGCTTCAGAAATGCAGTCAGGAAACAGATCAGTCTGGGTCAGAATGCTGCTGGAACCACTGGGACTTCGGTTACTGGAGGTCATCTGGGTGGATTTCACTAAAATCAGTTTTCTGCTGAAGTAGTTTGGTCCATTTGAAGGTTATCCAGAACAAAACACCCTGTGTGTGACGTACAGCATCAATGTGTTCCCTAAGGAAACCAGTTTTTGATTAGATTCGGAATATCTGTTACTAAAACTGCTAGTAACAACATAATCTATAACAGGCTAACAGGGTAGGAATTGGACTCTTCAGAACCTGCTTGAGACTCATCAGCTCTCTTCAGTAATAAAATAATTCAATGATCCAAACCAAAAACTCCCTCACTATGAAAGGACAAGGCATTCTACTTATTTTTCCAAATTTTAAACAAATATAACCTAAAAAGGAAAAGTTAACGTGGCATTTACCAAAATAATCCTCAGGCCTCTCATCAAGGCTTCCTCAGTTCTGACTAACTGGTGAGGAGTTCCAGGTGTCTCTGATCATTCTGATCAGGTGTGAACAGTGATGGAACTGCCAGGGAGGGATGTCAGGACCGGTCCCAGAGACCACAGCCCTGTTTACTATGTTCCAGTTTAACAAAGAAGACTTCCTGTTCTCTCTCAAACCATCTGTCTTCTCTGTCCAGAACGTGGACGTGACTGTCTTGGTAGTGACTTCAGATGTAGGTGGACTGCTCAGGCTTGTCCTGAGGAACTGCTCTTCTCCTTTGTTTGTTGTTTATTGTGGAGCATCTGGTTTGTCTCCCTTATATATGTGTGTGTATATATATATGTATATATATATATAGGTCTGTGAACTCCAATCAGCTGCACGTACAACATCGCTCAGCTTGTGTTTGGGTGTTTTTTATCCCTAAGGTGAACTGTTTTCATCTAAGAGTGTTGCTGGGTCTGAAGTGCACCAGGATGTCGACTTTGGAGAAAAGTCTTTACAGTTTCACTTTAGTTGGGAGTTTTTTTTTCCAGATCTCTTAGTTGAGTCCAGTTGAGCTGCTATTTCTTTCTTGATATGAGTGTGTTCCTTTTCTTCATCCTCTGCGTTGTTGGGGACATTCTCAGCCTGGTGCTAAAGTGTTTCGGCTAAACTCTACATCCCAGTGGTAGATGGTGTCAAACAGCAGGTGTTGGTCTTTGGGTCGGGCAGACTTTAATGTTGAGGTCTCTGTCCACCTCGATGTGTCCCCTATAGAGACCCAACAATCTTCTGTAGTGAACTCGATGTGTTATTAGCAGCATAACTTGGTCAACAACAACAACAACAACAACAGCACCTTACTGGTTGGAAATGCTTCTCACGACATCCAAAAGTCCAGTGATTTTATCAACAGAAGCCCTGCAAGAGTCACTGTGAGAAATGTTTGACATCACAATTCTATTATTATATTATTATTTTCCTTCTCATACATACCAACAGTGGGTTAGTTCTGTCCCCTTACAACACATTTATTGCTCATCATCCACTTTACCAGGCTGGACTCTGACAGCGTCCAGCTGCTGGCTGTGAGCTCAGCTGAGATCCACTCTGTGATGCTATGGACACGTCCAGCTGTTATTATCTGAACCTGTGGTGCTTCAGTGACAGATGTGCTTATTTATTTATATAGGACTTCAGAAATACTGCCAAGAAACAGATCACTGCACTCACACTGCTGCTGCTCATTGTCAGCGTTGCAACAACTGATGTGTCACAACCATCGTAACACTCACTCTGAGCTTTGGCTGCAGTCGTTGTTACTATTACGGCTGCGACATTCATTTCTAATGTCTGTAACCCTGACTGTATTGTGGATGCAGTCGTAGTTTTGCTGGCTGACCACTGCATCGAAGCTCCTTTATCCCTAAACACATCTGTCACAGCAGCACCAACAGCTGGACGTATCCGAAGCCCCGCTGCCTGAACATTAACCACATCATTACGGCCCGCTTCAGCACCACATCCAGGCACAGAATCCACAGCTGTGCTCACAAACAGCAGCTGGTTTCTGTCAGACCGGCCTTTTAAAACTAAATAATGGGCAATAAATGCATCAGGGAAAGCGCCACAGTAGCTCTGTTTTATTTAGTGTTTAGCGGAGCGTTTCCCCAAACCAGCAGTCTGCTGGAGGTGGACCGGACCAACATGCAGCCTGTTCACAGGGATCACATGAGGTAAAATAACATCCCACTGTAACCGCTTTAACTCAGTGTCACCTCACTTTTCACAACCTACATATGGATGGCAGAGCTTTTAGGTCCTTCAGGGTACCAACAACCCCGGTTCAGATCAACACCTGGGCCAGAATCAAACCCAACTAGACAATATGTCAGCTCAGAAGGTGGCAAAATCTAATTCACAAAGGAGGATCTCAGGGAAAAGAAGACGGAAGACGTTAAAGTTTACCAAAATCCTGCATTCGCAGTCCAATATCTGCTGTGTCTGGAGAACATCAGACCTCTACAGTGCTGCTGGTTTGAGAATACGAGAAAAGAACCAGCAGAACAGCTTTGCCGTACCATACATGACTGCCATGTCTAAGAAACTCAGGATTTTCTCCAACATCCTGGTACATTTCAGACCCAGCAACACTCTGAGACAACAGTCCACCCCACGGACAGAACACCCCAACACAAGCTGAGCAAAGAGTCCACAGAGCTACATGTAGGGGACACTGAGGGGACACCATTACATATGA